TTGGCAAGGTGGTTGGGGGTCAAGATGCAGTTAGAGAACCCCATCATTACAAAGCCATCCACTATGGTATCCACATTTCCCAGAGCCAGAGTCATCTATAGCAGGATGTTATTGGTTCCCTTGGTTACTTGGATCACAGCAGCCCCCACTGTAGATTTCCCTACTCCAAATTGGTTCCCAACTTACAGTAGCTGTCTGGCATTGCAGGCTTCCACTATTGTGGAAGCTATTGCCATGTACTTCTCCAAGGTCAGAGAGGGTCTCATTCAAGTATCCCTCCACTTCAGGGCAAAGGAAAGCCATTTGCACAGTTCCAAGAAAGTAGCCTTGTGCATTTGGAAGTTTTGCAGCCACTGCTGATCCTCCCATCTCTGCATCACAATGTGGTGCCACCAGTCTGTGCTTGCTCATGGTGCAAGAACCAGCATTCCACTGCGTCCACATGATTGACTGATGGCTGGGCTTCCATCAGCTACAGGGCTGAACAGTGACTCCATGTCAGTCTGAGAATCGTCCTGATCCTCTTCCTGGCAGAGCGATGTGCACGGGTACACTCTTGAAGTACTACATCTTACTTCAAAGAGACTTTAACACCAGATTACAGAGGGAAACTTCAGAACTTTCATTCATCTTTAAATTTGACACTTTATGAATAGGCCTTAACAAAGATGCTAATTACCTTACCCATTACAAAGATAGCTTCCCCAAGGCTATTGCCATGCACTTCTCCAGGGTCAGAGTGGGTCTCATTCAGGTATTCTGGTGCCTCAGGGCAGGGGAAAGCGATTCACAAAGTTCCAAGAAAGTGACCTTATGCATTCAGAAATTTTGCAGCCACTGCTGATCATCCCATCTCTGCATCAAAATGTGGTTCCACCAGTCTGTGCCTGTTTCACGGTGCCAGAACTGGCATACCACTGTGTCCACAGGATTGACTAGCAGCTGTGTTTGCTTCAGCGTCTGGGCTTACGTGAGCAGTGACTCCACAGCAAGCCAAGATTCAGCCTTGTCCTCTTCCTGGTGGAGTGACATGCATATGCTCTTGAAGTAGTGTGACATTAGGTGTACCACGACAAACATCACCATCACTATGGTTTTCTGCAAACCAGGATCCATGCTCACACTGCAATGGTGTCTGTGTGGGCAACCAGGGCAGAAAAGGTCATGAAAAGACTGCTTCCCATTACTCTCACACAATGGCAAAAGGACTAGACAACTGCATTATGGGATACTGAAAACATGAACCCATAACCATACGCTGCACGGTTTTGGTCCCAGCAGAGAGCGGGAGCATAGCCCAGAATCCAAAGATACCCACAGTGCATTGTTCTGAGTCAACAGAAGGCTCTCTAATGGGGACTCACTACTTCTGATTATATTCAATTCTTCCCTGCAGTGAGGACATGGGGCTTCAGCTTTGCAAAATCGGGTGACCAGAAATCTATATACTATTATAAAAGGAGATGTGTCCGTCATGCCATCTGTGTCAGAGAACATTTGAGACTACACTGGAAGACTAGAGAAGTTTCTAGAAAATGCCAGGACACATGAGAAAACCAGTGGGCTGAAGTCATCTTTTGCTGCCATGGGACTCAGCCCCGTTGCCACCTTGTTCCTGGATGGCCCTGCCCCACAGGGCTCAGCCCCACAGCGGCAAAAGAGCTTCAGCCTTGCAGCAGGGGCTACTAAAGAAGGGGGCTGAGCCCAGTGGTGGGAGCCAGGTGGGAACAGGGCTTCAGCCCTGTGGTGGCAAAAGGACTTCGGCCCCTTGGTGGGTGCTACCTACGACTGGAGCTCAGCCCCGTGAGGGATGCTTGGAAATGGAACTTCAGCGTTGGAGGCAGGGTGCCAGTGGTTGGGGGTTCAGCCCATGTTCTGGCAAACCTGAGTGTGTGTCTACTGTCACAACAGGATGGGTAATGCTAGCTGACCGTAAAAAGTTCAACCTTATTTTGTAGTGTAGATATGGCCTTAGGTAAGGGGTGGGCAATCATTTTTGCTTGGGAGCCCCTTCAAAACTTTTTGAAGTAGCCCCAGGCCACCCTAGAAGGGGTGGGGCCTAAAATAGAAGGGGCGGAGCCAGGGTGCTTCTGGGCTTCCTCACCCACAGACCATGATTGGTCTGGGGGTGGGGGAGCCCCTTTGCCGGAGGGGTGGAATCTCCATCCCTAGAAGTTTTTAAGTCCCGGCTTGACCAAGCCCTGGCTGGCAAGGCCGCATTATGACTTTTGTGGGCCCTAGGCACTTTTCGCCTTCGTGGGCTCTTTCCTCCATAAAAAAAAATTAAAAATTATTTTTGATATAACTTTAAATAGTTCAACATTTTTTTTCTGTTTTAGGCTGGCAGCAGGGAGCACGGAAGCTGATGGTGCAGAGGAATGAAGACTAATGCTAGTCACCGTGTTTTTAGTTCCCCTGACTGCTTTATTTGAGTCCTAGTAGGAATTTCAATCCACAAAGGAACAGTCTGGATGTTCACCTCACCAGAAAACCTACTGGCTACCTCCTGCTGGAGTTACCTCCCTGCTCCCTCCTCAGATCTGTTGTGCTGCTGACTAATCAGCAGCACATGGGCCTGCCTACCGCACAGACCCAGGTAACAATAAACCACACCCGGTCAGCTCCGTACCTGGTCACTCATTGCTTCGTTGTAGCGCACCTCAGTAACAAAGTGTTCACATTCTGAGAGAAGACTTCATCTCTCCTTTTCTCCCCAACCCTTTTGTTTGCCCGCTTTGGCTATGTCTAGACTGCAAGCCTCTTTCGAAAGAGAGCGTCTAGACTGCACGTTGAACTTTCGAAAAAGCGCTTGATTTTCCGAAAAACCTGGCCAGTGTAGACACTGCTCCCCCCTCAGATCTGTTGCGCTGCTGACTAATCAGCAGCACATGGGCCTGCCTGCCTACCGCACAGACCCAGGTAACAATAAACCACATCTGGTCAGCTACGTACCTGGTCGCACATTGCTTTGTTGTAGCGCACCTCGGTAACAAAGTGTTCACAGTTCTGAGAGAAGACTTCATATCTCATTTTCTCCCCAACCCTTTTGATTGCCCGCTTTATGATTTCCTTCACTGCAAAAGGCTTCTGCCTCTCATCATACTTGTTGTTGACCCAATAGTTGCAGTTCCTCACCACATCTTGGAGGCGATCTTTCCTCACCTCTGCCATGCCGTTGGCAGAGGGAAGAGAGTTAGCGGTGGTTATTCCATTCACATCTGCAGATCAGAGACAGGAAAGCAGGTTGTGAGTGTGATGTTATCTGATTTTAAATATAACCATATTGATCACTGTGGCATCACTGTTATACATTTGCAAAAATCATGTACAAAGGTTGTTGAGTAAGGTGTCGTGGGAAGGCTATTATTTGCTAACTATGATTATGCTATTTGTATGCATGTGTCATTTTTGCATTTGAAGTTACGAGCATTGGATCTACACCTGTATGTCAAATGTTTGCTCCTGAGGTAACCACCACAAGGTAGTTAGCAAGCATATCTTGAAGGGACTAGTCAAATTAAGTGGCTCATCAAGGAATATTTAACTCACAATGGCCTATGGAAGATGCCCATCTACACTGAATGGACTTTCTTGTGGACGTTCCATCTGAACTTTAGGTAATGGCTGCTGCTATGACTAGGCAAAATTATGCATGGACGTGTGACTTCCCCATGTGACTCCATACTCCCATCTTTTACCTGTAATTTTCCATAGTAAGAACAATGAGATTCCCTTCGCATGGCAGAAGCTTTAAAAGGCCTGGAAACGCCTCCATTTTGCCTCTGCCCTTCTCCAACCTCTTACTGCTCAAACCTGTGGGCTACGTCTACACTGGCCCCTTTTCCGAAAGGGGCATGCTAATTTCACAGGTCGTAATAGGGAAATTTGACTTAAGCCAGCAATTTATTCCATCACTGTTACAGACAATAATTGCAACGTTCTTGGCTCAGATTTGTATTTGATTCCTTTAACCATTTTTAACTCTTCTCTTTCTTTTTTATAAATAATCTAGAAGACTTACCCCACATTGCTCAGGTCCTTCAAGGCAGGAGGCTTGGAGATGTGGAGGTGTGGGGATGCAGGATTCAAGGAATGGAGTTGAGAGGGGGAACTCAAGAGTGCAGGTGGGGGGCTCAGGGCAGGGGTGAAGCTGCAGGTCCCCGCCACTTCTCGGAGGAGATCTTTCCTCACCTCTGCCATGCCATTGGCAGAGGGAAGAGAGTTGGGGATGATTATTCCATTCACATCTGCAGATCAGAGACAGGAAGGCAGGTTCTGAGTATGATGTTATCTGATTTTAAATATAACCATATTGATCACTGTGGCATCACTGTTATACATTTGCAACAAATCATGTACAAAGGTTGTTGAGTAAGGTGTCGTGGGAAGGCTATTATTTGCTAACTATGATTATGCTATTTGTATGCATGTATCATTTTTGCATTTGAAGTTATGAGCATTGGATCTACACCTGTATGTCAAATGTTTGCTCCTGAGGTAACCACCACAAGGTAGTTAGCAAGCATATCTTGAAGGGACTAGTCAAATTAAGTGGCTCATCAAGGAATGGTCCCTTCCAGTCCTATTATTCTATGATTCTATGATTCTAAGGAGGAAGGAGAAAATTTGTTCCTCTTGGTTTCTAAGGACAGGACAAGGAGTAATGGGCTTAAAGTGCAGCAGGGGAGGTTTAGATTGGACATTAGGAAAAAATTCCTAACTGTCAGGGTGGTCAAATATTGGAATAAATTGCCAAGGGAGGTGGTGGAATCTCCCTCTCTGGAGATATTTAAGAACAGGTTAGATAGACATCTGTCAGAGATGGTGTAGACGGAGCTTGGTCCTGCCTTGAGGGCGGGGGGCTGGACTCGATGACCTCTCGAGGTCCCTTCCAGTCCTATGATTCTATGATTCTATGAAATTAACTCAAAGTAAGCTATGCAATTTCCACAGCTCCAATTGCGTCGCTTATTTGAGCTACAGGTGCAGTGTAGACGCACCCTGACTGTACAGCCTCTAGCACAGGGC